GGGGGGCAGAACCTGGCAAACAGGGCACGCCCTTCCCTCCCTGGGTCTGGAAAGGTGGCCGAAGCGCCAGAGAGGGGCAGAGAGGGTGGCCCCAGGGTTGGGCAGGCTGCCTCCCTTTCCCTCGTTGACTGACAGGTCAGCCCTCCAAAAGAGCCCGGAAACCTGCCAGACCTTCCCAGGGCCACCAGGGGCTCGCAGGGTACCCTGGCCACCCGCCAGGCGAGGGGCAGCTTCTCCTCAGGGTCCCTCCCTCCCTGGACAGAGGGCTGGCGGGGAGAAGCTCTGCCAGGTGGGGGGCGTCCCTCGTGCCGGGGGCGGGGGGGGACCCCCAGCACTCACCGAGTCCTTCAGGGCCAGGAAGCCATGGCAGATCCAGCGCCGGGTGGTGCCGTCCCGGCAAATGTAGGAAAAGGCCTTGTCGAAATTGCGATCGGGGGCACAGAAGGAGACCTTCTCGATGGTCTGGTCCACAATCAGGTCCTGGGGGGGAGGACAACCGCAGACCCACCACACTGTAAGAGGGGCGTTTGCCCCCTCCCTGCCTTGTCGGGCTGGAAGCAGTCTGCACATGGTCTGGGCACTTTCATCATTGTAGCTTGGCCCCGGATCAGGAAGGAGCCCCCCCCCTCCCCCCGCCCCAAGCAACCGCTTGGCTTTGGCTCAAGGGGGGAGCCTTGCCTCCTGCCACCCCACCCCCCCAATCGGAGCCAGCCATTTCTGGGCACTGGAGGTGGGACAGCCTCGGACTGGCACGCTGCCCTCCCCCACCACCAGGTGCCTACCTTGGTCTTGTCGTCCACCACGCGCAGCCCATCGGCCGACACCCACAGCACAGACTTCACGGATTTGCGGCCGCTCTGTGGAGGCCATGGAGGAGGAGGAGGAGGAGGAGTGCATCAGCAGGGCCACAAAGGGCCGGCCTGGGCCCCCCTCCCAAGTGGGGCCTAGCCCTCCTGCCCCCAGGCCCTCCCCTACTCCAAACTCCTCTGCCCGGGCTGTGGGGGGGGGGAGAGCAGGAGAGAAGCCCTCCTTGCCACCTGGGTGGGGGCCCCTGGATTTTGCTCCAAATGCCCAAATGTTCAGGCCCTGGGTGGACAGGGATCCTCACTGTACATGGATGGATCCCACCTAGCCTTGTGCCAGTCTAGGTGGGGCTGGGGCTGGTGAGGGCCGGCAGGAAGGAGGAGGAGACAGGAGGCTCCTGGATGAAGAGCAAGCAATCAAAGTGCCCGTTGCAACCTGTGCCTCGGATTAATTAGCTAAATTATTCAAAAGACTAAAAGGCCTCCTTAGTCAGGCCACTCTATTTTTGTTGGCACATTATTTATAAACACTGCAGTTTGCAGTGGAAACGTCTCCTCCCCCCCAGCCCCCCAGGGGAAAAACGCTCTTTGCCTTCTGGGAGATTCAGCAGCAGAGAGGTGCAGCCCCTCCCCCCCCAAAGGCAGGCTGCCCCCCCCCCCCCGCCCAGCGATGGTTCCATCTAAAAGCCTGCGTACATCAAATTATCTTTCACTAATCAATGCCTTGGCTGCCTCTGCAGGAATTCATACAAACGACAAACCGCAGCTTCGCAGAGCAAAGTATAAATTCTGCCTGCTCATTTTGAGTCTTGGGATCTGAAGAGAATCCTTAAAACTCATCATTCCTTATTTTAAAAAGTTTTAGAAGGAGCAACTTTGTTTTGCGGTATGCTGCGGTGGCACGGCACACTTAACCATTGTGTGCCCTGACACGACCTGCTGAAATGGCCGACGGTCAGCCTTCCCAAGCGTGCCACGGATTCCCCCCTTTCTTTTCTCTCTTTCTTTTTCTTTTTCCCAGCCCCCCCCCCTTTTTTTTACCTCTCGCATCGGAATATACTGTACAATTTTATTCATTCTCGAGCAGCTTGCAGCAAGGGGGGCCAATCACAGTCCAGCTCCTTTGAGCCCGATGCACCATGGGGAATGTAGTCTCGGTCTCACAGAAGACTTCTCTCCTCCACATACACACGCAGACACTTTTTTGGCATTAATATTTTCCACTCCTTCCTTTGCAAGCGCTTTACCCGCTGGGGTGGGAAGCAGGCATCTGTCACGGGAGGACTACAACTCCCACAAGGCCATGCGTTTGACAGCTGGGAGACCCGCCTCCGGAGGGTGGGAGGGAGGGAGGCTTGGGGATATTGAAAAAATGGGAGAGGGAGTCAATCTGACTGTAAATGGCGTTGGTGCAAGAAGCCGCCCTTCCTTGCCGATTGCAGCGCGGCTTCCGTGGAGCGGCTCTGTCCGGCGGGTGGGCGGGCGGGCGGGCGGGAGTCTCGGCCCGGCGCGGAGCAGAGACCGCTAAAGCCGCAAGCCGGGCTTGCTGGGTCGGCCGCCAAGCGGCTGCTCCCGAGCATGTGCAGAGCGCTTCCAGGCGTGAGCTAGCTGGGGCCAAGGGGCAGCCCCGCGGCCTCCGCCGCCGCCGGTCGCTGATCCCCGAGGCCAAGCCGCGGGCAGAGCAGCGCCCCTCCGTCTCTTGCGTGGGCTGAGAAGAGCTGCTGCCCCGCGTCTTGGCCCCGGGAACCTCCCGCTACCCTCCGGGCGAAGGCCTGACCGGCAGCCCCGCTCCCGGGGGTCAGCAGCAACTCGCCCTCCGACTCCTTGAGCGACGGCCATCCCGGCGACCTCCCCTCCGCTGGGCAACAGCGTCCCGGCGGCCGGTCGTCCAAGAGCCCTGCAGGTTTGCCGGCCAGGCACCCTCACGGGGAGAGGCGGGGCTGGGGGGGGGGCGGTCGCCCGCGGGCATCTCTTTGCAAAAGGCGACCGACGCGCCTCCGCGGCTTCCTCTCCTTCCGCCCCGCCGCTTGGCCGTTCGCTCTTCCTTCGTCCGCGCCGCTCGGCGGAGAAGCGGGACTTCTGCGCTCGGGGCCCCCAAAGGCGGCATAGCGAGGTCCCGGGCCCGTTGCCTTGAGGCCTTGCCGCCGCCGCCGCCACCCCGCCTCGGGTTCCAATTGCGGTTAAACCCCGGACTCAGAGGCCACGACCCCCGCCGGCTGTGTTCCGCCTGGGCCTGCGGGAGGGTCGGGCCGGCCGGGGTGCCTCCCTCTCCTCCGCTCCCGAGTCGGGCGCTCCCGAGTCGGGCTGAAGGGTCCCACGACACGGGGCTAAAATGGGGAAGGGGCCAGGCCTGAGCCGGAGAAACCAGTGCCTGGCTGGGCATGCGATCGACTCCCAGCCCCGTTTGTGGCCACCATTGGCAGTAGCAACACCAGCGGCACCATCAGTTGGCACCACAATATGTCCTGGCACACCAAACCAGAAAATTGGCCCCGGTAGCACCAAAACCCCAGGGTGTGTGTGACCAGCAGGCGCCACCACCCCCTCCTCACCTTTCTGTTTCTTCCCACTTCTGCCCCTCCGGCCCCCCCATAAGAGATACAAGCTCTGCAGTGGGGTATTATATTACTAGCTCTGTTATTTATTATATAATACAAACAGGTGGGATTCTTTAATACAAAAAGTTTCAAAATAAGATAAAAAATAACACCCCCAGCCATTTTGGGGGACCTCCAGGCAGTTTGGGCAGGAAAGGCCTCTTTGCTCCACTTCCGTCTTCTCTGCTTGCTGGAGGTGGGGGCTGGGGGGGGCAGGGAGAGAAGCAAGGGCAGTTCTGTTTTTTGGAGGGGGGGGGCTGAGGAGGCCAAGGAGCCCTGTGGGAGGGAGGGGCTGCTGCCTTTGAGCCAGACAGCTGGAGGGAGGCAGCTGCTTTCAAGAGCCTGCCTGAGGCTGGCTGTCCCACTGGAGGAGGAGCAGCCCCCCCTCCCCTCCCCAGGCCTCCCTCCGCTGTTCCTCCCAGGTCACCCTGTGGGAAAATGCCTGGCGGCCGGCCACATGGTTCGTGGCCCTGAGGCCCCCCCCAGGAAAGGAAACCTTCCCAAGCTTTTACATCTTGGAGGGATTCTTCCCCACTCCCCCCCCCCCCATGCTTGGATTACCGGGGTGAAGTGAGGGGAGCTTCTCTCATCCTGGAATGTATGGGAATGTCCTGTGCCCCCCCCTCGCCGCCCCCCCCCACTCCCTTCCCCTGTGATTTGAGCACGAGGACCCTGCCAAACTGGGAATGTGTAAAAACAAGATTAGCCTGAAGAATTTTGCTCCACCCCAGCCAAAACTGAGAGGAGGGGGGGGGGAATGTCACCTGCAATAACCATTCCCCAAAGCCCACCCCCCACCCTTTAAGTTTTGGAGTGGAAAGCCTGTTCCTCCCCCCCCCCCCAAAAAAAAGAGATTATGGATCTCCCATTAATCCAGACTCTGGCTCCTGCGGGGGAGGTAGGACCCCAAGGCCAACCCTGTTTGTGGTCCCCCGTGTGCACCTCCTATCAGAAGCTCAGCCTGAGGAGGGTCCCTGGGGGGGGGAGTAGGGCACCGAGCGCCTCCCCAGCAGCTCCACAATGATGCCCCGCCCCCTTTTGGGCAGGGAGAGGACAGCTGCCCAGGGAGGAGGGGGCCTGCCATGCACGGAGTGGGGGACCTCACTGACCAAGACAGGGATGCTCTGGGGCTGCACGGGGTGGGGGTGGGGAGAGCAGAGACCACCCCACCCGTCCCCTGCTCTCTGGAGGCTGGGGCCGGCCCAGAAGGCCTCCCGCTTACCCTGGTTTCCAACTGGCCACCGACTCTCGGCCTGGGCAGGAGTGGAACTGGCTTCCCAGCCGTGATCTGGCCAGACCATCAGTGCCTGTGGGGCTCCCCCATCACTTGGGGGCAGCTCCCCCGATCCCCACTGGCCGCCTTTCGAAGCGCTGCTCCCAGCCAGCTCTCCCCACTCAAGGTTTAGACAATCTGGCCTAGCCAAGTGGGGTGCTAAGGGGGAACCTTCACAATCAGGCTCACAATTCAATTTCCAAGGTTTTCTGCCGGTCGCCAGAAAAGGGGTTGGGGGCAGCAGTGGTAGCCTTGGACTCTAGGGCAGCCCACTGGGTTTCAAAGGGGTCCAGGGGCTCAGGGTGGGAGGCAGAAATGCCTGGGGGGCTTTGCTCGGAGGGCCAGGCAGCCCCATTGGCTCTGAGCCGAGGGGGGTCCAGGAGGGCCTGAGGGAAGGGGCTGGCCTTGAGCCCCAAACTTGTAACGGGGGCCTGTGTGGCGGAGCAGAAGGCATTGGTCACCATTTGGGAGGGCGTGATGCCCACCACGGGCACGCTGGGCAGGGCAGGGAAGGGCAAGGCAGGTACGTAGGCAGTGCCCACGGGCACAAAGGAGGGGGGCACGTGGGGAGACGCAAAGAGGCCTGGGGGGGGGGGGGCTGCCCCGTAGCCTAGAGGAAAGCTGGGCAGAGGCGTGGGGGCGGCCAGGGGCACTTGCTGGTGCTGTTGAGCCTTGGCAGCCTTGGCAACCTCTTCCAGCCAGCGCTCTGCCTCCGAGGGGGTCCTCTTGTGTCCCGGCTGGAACAGGGGCTGGGCCTGGGGGTCATTCCATGAGGAAGGGGGTCCTGAGAAGAGGGCAAGGCAAATGTCAAAGAGGGGCCCTCGCAAGCTGCCCCCCCCCAGCCCAGGGGAAGGGGGCCTTCAGGCCGTACCTGCGCTGCCCCCTTCCGCTGTCCCCAGGGCCGCGGGGGGCTCTCCAGCCGGCTGGGCGAGTGAAGCGTCAATCTGGGTGCAGAGAGCCGAGATGCTGTCCGAGTCCCTGCTGGGAGCTGCCTCGGCCTCTGGCAGAAGGGAGGGAGGAGTCCAGCCTTCAGTGCATCTGGGGGCTCGGGCCCTCCCCTGCTATTCTCCCCCCCCCCCGGGCCTCCCTCGAGCGCCAGCCCTGGAAATGGGCTCTGGGCGTCCCCTGCCCGCCTCACCTGCGCCCCCGCTGCTGCTCTCGGAGCGGCCCTTGCGCTGCAGGGTGGAAGGCAGCTCGTTGAGACGGAGGGAGAGCTGCCTCTTGAAGGGGGAGTTCTGGCTCAGGGTGGGGAACCCTCGGAAGGAGCCTTGCCGCACCAGCTGCTCCAGGGGGGCATGGCGGCGTGGGATGGCGTGCGCCCCCCCAGCCTCTGCCTTCTCCTCCTCCTCCTCCTCCTCCTCCTCTGGGGAGGCGGCCCCCTGGGGCGGGGAGGCGCTGCCGGGCTGGGTGGGGGCCGGGGCCGGGGCCAAGGGGGCGGCCGCTGCTTCCACTGCAAGAGAGGAGAGAAACTGGGGCTCTGCTGGTGCCCCTCCCCCAAAGCCCCCCCCAGCCCGGCCCCGCCCCCCCCCCCCCCCCGGGGGGGGGGCAAAAAGGGGGGGGGGGGGGGGGGGGGGTGTCAGGGTGCAGAGTCTCTTGGAATGGGTTCTCTCCCCCTCCTTGGAAAGCCGTGCAGGTTGATCCCGGCTTGTTCCCGGCACACAGAGAGTGAAGAGTTCAGGGAACACAAGAGAGCAGCTTCCCCACCCCCCATCCGAGGGGGCCAGTAGAACAGGAGAGTCAGACTGGCCCCCCCCCCCCCCCCCACAGAAGTAGTCCCCACGTCCCATCCTCCACAGCCAGCTGCCTTTCCAAACCTCTCAGCGGGGCAGTCCCAGCACAAGGCTTGCAGCCCGGGGGGGGGG